ATCGAATATTTAACGAACGAATATTTAATCATCGTTTCATCGATATTAAATTTCTGATTTTATATATGACTGCTAATATTTATTTTTAGCGGCTTTAGTTTTCTGAAATTGTTATTTAAGACAAAAAAATATCGATATTTTGGCTACGATGGAACGTGGTAAGTGAAACAATTCGAAACAATATCTCGACTACGATGGTAATGCGGAAAGGGGTGTATTTTTTAAATTTATAAAGTTTGGACGCATATGGGAAAGTTCAGTGAGTGAAACTGACACTGAATATGCGCATACTATTATACGTACGGCCACCAGATGGTTTTACTTTGTGGTAACAGTGGTTTCAGACAAAATGCTTTATAGAGCGGAAGGCGCTGTGAACAGAGGATGCTTTTAAAATCGAGCCCTCTAGAGGTAATTTTCAAGATCGAAATTTGATTTGGAGAAAAAAACTTATTTATTAAAAAAAAAAAAAAAATACGGTGCAAATTTGTAAAATGATATAAGAATATTATTAATCCAATATGTGGATTTGATTCAATAAATACGAATTAAACGTAATTTTCCTGTCTAATCTCTGAAGAAAGAAGTTTTAATGAAAAAGTAAATACGTTTAGTTTGAGTATATTTAGAAGATACGGGCGTTTCTTCGTAATCTTTATTCTTGGGAAGGAGAAAAGCAATTAATATAAAGCGTGAAGCGAAATGGAAAAATTATAAGTTTCGTAGAAGTGTTCGCTTAAATCTGTAAAGATGTTGAAAATTGTATCGCCGTTGTGAAAATGAAAAGTTAATCTCGTTACTCGTTGACTTCTTTGGATTTATTACATACTGGTTGATAAGATTTTTCTTAGAATAATTTTTGAAACTGAAAAGGGGCAAAATGTTTAAAAATGGTTCGCAGAGAGAAAAATTAATAAAGAAGAAAGAAAGTTTTGAATCGTGTTGTAATCTCATAATTTGATATCGCTTTCAGATGGAATTTAATTAATAATAATTCGAGCCATTGTTGCTCGAGTTCCTTTAATTTATGAAACTCTGCTTTGACTATATTATTATAACACTAGGATGTTGATTGATGTCACTTTATTGTGAAAGAAATGCGTATTGGGTACGATTTTGAATTTTATCGAAATTCAAGTAACGTTGAACAATAGCACGATAACACACTGTTTATTAGAAGATATATTATATTATTAGAAGAAACATCTTCAAACATAAAAAAAAATTCAATAAAAAGAAGAAAAACAAAATCGACACGAACATTTTTATCTCAATTTTATTACCTTTATCTTTATGAAGAATAATAAAAATTGAATATAACGTAAGTATATACGTAAAATCGAGAGGATAGAATACCCTAAGTTATACGATTTTTCATAAGACATCATTCTTACTTTATACTATCATCAAAATTTAAAATAACAATCATTAAACATTCGAAACAAGAAAAAGTGGAAAAAGTTTGGAGATATGAAAAAATATTTAACCAATTCTATTCTACCAACAACTATTCTTTCCAAAATTTCACACGAATGACACCATTCTCGAAATTTAAATAATAAAAAAAATATTTAAACTATCCTAGAATTAAAACATTTCATCAATCACATATGCCATGCTTCACCAAACTACATCAAACATCGAGAAAAAAATTCACAAGATTGACCTAAACCAAAAACCTATTAACCCTTTGCACTCCAAGCCTGTTTCGCTGGTCGAACTAGCAACTCCAGACTCAGATCGTTCATAGCCTCATAAGATTACCATAAGATAATTACTCATAAGATAAGATTACACCTCATAAGATTATAAAGAACTTAGGAAGTTATTTATGAAGCGATATTCTAAAAAAATCAAACATAAATAAATATTGTCGCGGCATTAACCGAGAGTCACCGTTGGAGAGCAGAGTTAAAACCAAATGAAACGAAAATTCCAAATAGATCCACATAAAATAGATCGCATAAATAGCGATCCTTTTAATCAGTCCGAGTTTCCAATCGTTCAATCGATTCCAGATAAATTCCTCTTCATCGCCGAGAATCGTATCACGCTTGTCCACTCGATCCATCGACACGCAAAAGCTCGTTAAGGGGTTGGAAAGTAAGCAACCTCTCTCCACTAGGTCTATTTATTCGTAAACTCCCCTCTCTCTCCCCCTTTTTCGTGGCCGACGAAGCTTTTCCCGAGATTGCTACACCACCTACCCTTTGCTCTTTCCATTGTAACGAAATTCTGGCGTTTCTTGACACGTACACACACAAAGTAGCGCAAAAGGTGCTCTTCCTTTAATCCAAACGCGAAGAGGAATCCCTCGAGAGACCAGGATGACGCAGAGAGAGAGAGAGAGAGAGAGAGAAATGCTTCTCATGCCTTGTTCCCTCCTCGATTCCCTCCATCCACTCTCGTTGGTCGACAGTTTGTTTCTTCTCTTTTCTTTCTCTCTTTACCTCGCTTTTAGTATCTTCCTTCCTTCTCCCTCTCTTCGTTCCCTTGTCTAACGATAAGAGAGAGAGAGAGAGAGAGAGGTGTTTTTTCGAGGGAACGACACCCTTAAAGCTGGCCCTCTCGGTTTCACGGGCCTCAGAGACAGGAGGTTCCTCCTCATTTTACTTTTCAATCTTCGGGAGGATGCGATTTTCTTCCTCATTTCCAGTCTGACAATATTAGGGGATGGAGAGGGAGCAATGGTTCGACGAGAGAGTTTGAGGGAGGTGGAAGACTAAGAGGTGGAAAGGATGCATCGGTAATCGAGCTATCACCTGTTTGCGTTAGTACACAGTTAGGAAATTCGATTTACCGTAACGACACTCCTCGATCGATGCTTCTGCAAGATTTCCACTGCGAATGCCTTTAATCCCCCACGAGCTTTTGTAATCTTCTCCTCTCGATGTTTTTCATTTAAAAAGAAAAAGATTAAACGATTCGAGTGGAATCGAAGGATCGAAATTCAAAACGTTGGCGATTACAACATTTATATTTAATTATTTTGGAAGTAGGATTTTCCCATTATTTTTATTTTTTCGTTATTCATTCAAAGAATTTTTTTAATGAAATTTGATATATTTCCTTACGAAAAATTTTTTTGATATCGATAAATTTATATTATTCTTTAAATTTAAAATTTGTTTAGAGACGTTGTTTTAACGAGAATTTCTATTATGTTCGAAATAACGGAATTTTACACAACAATCGCCATATGAAAATGTATAATAGTACAACACTCGTAATCATCTCGGATAATATGGCCTCAACTCCATTATGCGGTGTCGCAATATATTCATGAATGTGTTACGTTCCACGCTAACGAATGATAAAAGAGGATTACGAGCAATTAGTTGCTACTCCCTATCGTTAATTACTAAATTATGAAAATTTGTAAATGGTCGATTCAATGCGTTCTTCTTTGATATCTTCAATTATATCATCCATTTATTCTGCTGTAAAACGTCAGAAGATTATATTATATATACAACGAGCATGTAAACTATTCAAATTCATAATCCTGTCCTGAATATTTGCAAATTCTCTAATCCAAAATTTGCCATGATGGAATCATATATCATACAATCTCTCATATATACTTTTGCTATTTGTAATCAGGCAACTTCGACTCTTTATTCTTAGTTCAACCCTTTCAATGTGGCATTGTATTTTCTTATATAATGAGTATTTTTATTTTTTGATATAATTGGGATTATATCTATAGTAATGTTTTGTGGATCATTTTTATCTTAACAGAACGTTACGATAATAAAGTCATTTATTATTTCAATTATTTTGAACGAATAAATAAAGAAAATATTGTACGTTGTTTCATTTGTAAGAATTTTAAACAGAGCTATATTATTAAAATAAATAATATTTATTACCCTACTTTACCAATTGTACAAATTGTATATAGAATACAAAAATATCTAATGGTATTGAAATATTTATTTGGAATATAAATATATTAATTATTGAGATTCAATGCAAAACGAACAAGTTAACTTCTCAAGTTAATATCAAAAATATTAGAGATTCACGAATACAGCAACCAAAATAATTTCCACGATTATGAGAACAGTTCTAGGCTGAAGCAGGAGGATGCAAGATGGCGGCGTTTTGCCGCGAAATTTAATTTTATCATCTTCAAAATTCAGCAAACGAGGCTCTCGTTGCGAAGTGGCACGACGTATGATTATACTCGGCGTAAGATAATTATTTTGAAACTAACTTGGAGCAAGGAAGCTGGTAAGCTTTGGTATCAAAACTCTCTCAAAGACCGGGAATTGTGTTAGAAAATAAACGATTAAAGTGTACGTACGTAACGTGTCACGAGTTGAAATACAACGTGTGGAAACTAGGTGGATTGTCGTTTCCAAAGTGTGTTTAGCCAAGTGCAGTTTGGGATTTGATCCAATCGTTGAAAGGGATTGTTGCTTAAGGATTAAGTTTCTTGAAACAAGGATTGAATGTAATGTACACGAATGAGGAGAGTTTGAGAATGTTTGAGAGAGGATATTTGAAAATTATGTTTGTGAAAAATCTTACTTTTTTTTTAAAATTTAAAATTTTTCCAAGTAGAGTATTTTATAATAGAAAATTATAACTTCGTTAAAGATAATATTAATCGAATTTGTAAATGATTGTTACTAATAATTCCTCGTTTCATTTTTTAATATTTTACGTATTATTTGCTAACTTAAATTTTTAATTTCAATGTTTTCTCTCATCTATACTCTATTAATAATTGAAAACACTTCTCTTAAATAATATTATCGAATAAATCACATGTTATAGTATTCCAAATTTTTTTTCAAGAAATAAATTTTGCGACCAACAATTTTTCACGAGAGATTTTTTAAATTTCACTTGCGATATGATCATTCAAAAGAATTTCCAAAATTATCGCAAAAATGAGCTTGAAAATTAGTTCAAAATTCAACAATGCATATATATATATATTTTTTTTTTCCATTTACGAACGAGTGATCATTCGCATTGAAATCACTCACCTCCAAAACGTGTTCCGCCTGGTTCTCCCGATCGAGCTTCCGTCCGCTTGTCGTGATCAAACCTGAAACATAATCGAATGGAGAATTAGAGCAACGGCCTTAATAAATCCCCGATTAAACGGTATTTCAATTAAGGTTTCTGGGCTGACGTTTTATCGTAGGCCACGATCGGGTAAACCGACGCCACAGAGCAAAATCGGAGGAGGGGAGGAGGGACAATTCTCGATGGCAATTTACGAAGAAATGAAAAGGCCTCGATTAGCGGGGACAAGGATTAGCTCGATGCCCAAGGTTTTCGCGAAATTATAGCGCTCAGATTTCGCATCCAACTCTTCTTTATTCTTTTCTTTTTTTCTCCCTTTGTACTTTCATCCCCCTTTTTTCCCCGATCAAAAGTGAACATTGTAAAAATAATAAGGAACTTTTTTAAATGGATATTTGTGAATCTCTATTTGAATCGTATTTCATCGATCTTTACGATGTTAATATTTTTCCTTTTTCTTTTCAATCGATAAAATGAAAGATTGAAATTAATCGAAACATATTGTTTTTATTTCATTCGTATATAATAATAAAATTCCAACTGTTTATAAGAATTTTGCAACATAAATAAAATTGCCAACAAAAATGGATAATTCGAAGGAAACAAGTCGGAATCAAAACGAATCTTTTCGAGTAATTGATGGTGGTTATCTGGACTGTTTCGTGCATTTGTTTCTTCAACAGTTTCTTCTCAAAAAATAATCGCGTGGATGGTGAACGAGTGAGTTTTTGCTACTCGTTCGAGAAACGTCGAGGTGGTAATTGGGTATCGGGGCCTCTATTCGTCGCAGAGGCCGTAACAATTCCGCGGCAAATTGTTCTCGTTCTTCCGGCGAAGCCGTGAAAATCGGAAGGAATTTCGTTATAAATGGAGACTGAGATTTCTTTGGATTGATTCGAAGGAAGAAAATTAATTATTTTAGCGGAAAAATGGATAAGAGAGATGTTGGGATCAGAAGTTGTTAAGAATAATTTAATTGTCAATTAAATTTAAAAATTATTGAATATCGATAACACATGAGCTTAGATTTTTAGATCACAAACCAATTTAGATAAAATTTCGATAGCATCTATCTTTTCGATACCTTCTGCAAAGAGATTGACTATATTGAAACTGAAGACGACGAGGAAGACAAATTATTTTGGGAGAAAGATGGATAACGAATTAAATTAAAAATTATTGAATGTTAAATATTTCTTCTTCTATTCCTAAAAATATATAATTTTATTTATTTTTATATTATTCCATTATAATTTCGAGAAAAATTTCGATAATATCCGAGTCAAGTTTTCGAAATAGAATGGCGGAAAGCAGGTGGATGCCGCCTGTTTCCGGGCTACTCGTCGGCGGAACGAGAACGAAGCCTATGAAAATATGCCTGTCGTACGTTGTAAACCGCACTCGTGCTCTTTTTTCTTTTTTTGCACTCCATCTAGTTTGTACGGTTTCTGTTAACAACAGCGGACGACACAGATTTTATATTCCAACCGGAAATATTAATCAGGTTAGAAGGAAACCGCGTGTATTGTTTCTGCTCCGACACGAAATTTCTCGAACTTCTGAATCCGTTAGACTTTGAGAACGCTTGAATTTCACGGAATTTTCACGAAATATTAAAGTGAAAGATTAAATAAAAAGTATTGGTTGCGAAGAATTATAAGAAATTTTATTCCAATTGAATATTGGATAACTGTTTAATTAATAGAAATATTTTATTATTGGAGTAAAAGTTAAATATTAAAGTTAATACGATAATACAAATGGAGCTTATGCTCGATTTAATTTTAGATTAATTAAAATTTATTACACATTATATAGGTTTGAACGATTTTCAGAGATCGAGAGGGGAGATTAATCGATACGTAGTTTCGATAAATTAAATCAAACATGAACGATAATAAAAGAAGGCAATGAAGTGTGATGATCAATCGAATCATCAATTGAAATGATCAATTAACTTTATATAGCGTGAAGTATATCAATTATAAATAACTTAAAATTTATCGTAAGATTAAAATTTCCAATAAATGCAGAATCGATTATTAACATATCCAAGTAATTAACAAAGTTCCATCATTTCAATATTCTCCAATTATATATGATTCAATACTCACAATGCTAATTCAATCCATTCATATTTCAAAATGAAACCAATTGTATTGATAATAAAAATTCAATATTTTTTTTTTATCACAAATTATTTACATTACTTATTCCTCTCACATCTATTTTTCTCAATTATATAAATTAAATAAATAAAATTATCTTCAAATTCAAATAATCTGAAAGAAAATTATTTATTACATTATTTAAATTATTTAAATTATTTGCATTATTTATTCCCCTCACATCTATGTTTCTCAATATAAATTGAGTAAAATAAATAAAATTATCTTCAAGTTCAAATAATCTGAAAGAAAAAAAAAATTTAAAAATAATTTTCATCATCCTCCTCCCTCCTCCTCTATTTTCATCTCGAAAGACGCAACAAATAATGATAAAACATTTATCCCTGTAAAACGAATTGCTTCTTCGCTATAATCGCAATGTCACTTTACCCGATCTTGTCTGATTCAAGTCACAAAGCAAGCAAGGGGAAATCGAAGGGGGAAAATTTACAAGGATCGACGCCACGCTCGTCAACGTTGCAACGTCATTGTTCCCACACGTCAACCTGTTCGACGTGCACTTCTCCAAGCCAAATGATTCGAGAGTCACGGTAATAAAAGTCGACGTTCTGTCCGGGGCCGCTTGCTTTTCCCTTTTCTCCCATGGAGCCATGCTACGAAATGAGAAAAAGGAGCGATGGTTTCGAGGGGGTGCGAATTGACGCGGGAAGACGGGTGTAACAGGATGGGTCTAAAAGGGTGATGTAATATTTACGAGCACGATGCGATGTCAAAGCTAAGATATGTAAACGACAAAGTGGAGCCACGATG